CTTCTGCTACTACTCGTGGTTTACCTGTGATTAGTATGTAGACGCCCACAGCGCTAGCGGCATCGGTGCCATCCTGTTGAGGTGAGTCTCGGGCGCGTCACTTTTTCACATAGCTGGGGTCGGCCAGGGGCAAAATGGCGAAATAAACGCCTCGGTGTTCTGCCTCACCGTTTGTTCTTACTCTTAGCTTACCTGGAACCAGACATCTATTATAAAGACTAAGCATAACAAGGTTGCGGACCGTCGGACGACTTGAAACCACTCCGGTGTAGTTATTTTCAAGTGTGAGCTCAAAAATGAATCAGTTGATCTGTAGTGCATGTAGCTATAAATTTTTTATAGATCTGCTGCACGTGCGGGCATGGCAGCCTCCCGCAAAGTGCAGTGACTTGTTTACTCAAGTTTGACACCACTTTTATTAAAGGGGAAGTTAAGGCAAAAATTAAAATTTCACCAGTTGTAGTCTTCGGGGTGCTGAGTCGAATGGTCGTGGTCCGAGGAAGCTGAGACGCTCCCTTCCTACTTGAATCCCAATCGAACTCGCGCACTTCCACCGAAACTGGGTGACTACGCCCTACTACAGTAGATGGGGATTTGTATGCAAAATGTCACTAAAAGCGCCATTTCGTTCTAATAAAAGCACGGATGACCGCGATTGGCCCATATGTTGTAGTCTTTTGGACGCTGAGTCGACTGGTTTTGGTCCGAAAAGGCTGCGATGCAGCGTTCCTCCTTTATTCCCAATCGAACATGGTTGAACAAGCGGTCACGTGCTCCTGCGTACGCCAGTCACCTGGTCACCGTGCCTGCAGGGTACAACTTACTAGCCTGTTTGACCTTTTTTGGGTGCAGTCCTGTCACTCGAGTTGAACCTTGGTGTGAAAGTTGTCGCCTGCTGGCGTGGTGACCAGGTGATTTGGGCACCCAGGAGCATGTGACCGCTTGTTCAACCATGTTCGATTGGGAATAAAGGAGGAACGCTGCGTCGCAGCCTTTTCGGACCAAAACCAGTCGACTCAGCGTCCAAAAGACTACAACATATGGGCCAATCGCGGTCATCCGTGCTTTTATAAGAACGAAATGGCGCTTTTAGTGACATTTTGCATACAAATCCCCATCTAGTAGGGCGCAGTCACCCAGTTTCGGTGGAAAGGGGAAGTTAAGGCAAAAATTAAAATTTCACCAGTTGTAGTCTTCGGGGTGCTGAGTCGAATGGTCGTGGTCCGAGGAAGCTGAGACTCTCCCTTCCTACTTGAATCCCAATCGAACTCGCGCACTTCCACCGAAACTGGGTGACTGCGCCCTACTAGATGGGGATTTGTATGCAAAATGTCACTAAAAGCGCCATTTCGTTCTTATAAAAGCACGGATGACCGCGATTGGCTCATATGTTGTAGTCTTTTGGACGCTCCTGAGTCGACTGGTTTTGGTCCGAAAAGGCTGCGATGCAGCGTTCCTCCCTTATTCCCAATCGAACATGGTTGAAGAAGCGGTCATGTGCTCCTGGGTGCCCAAATCACCTGGTCACCACGCCAGCAGGCGACAACTTTCACACCAAGGTTCAACTCGAGTTCAACTCGAGTGACAGGACTGCACCCAAAAAAGGTCAAACAGGCTAGTAAGTTGTACCCTGCAGGCACGGTGACCAGGTGACTGGTGTACGCAGGAGCACGTGACCGCTTGTTCAACCATGTTCGATTGGGAATAAAGGAGGAACGCTGCATCGCAGCCTTTTCGGACCAAAACTAATCGACTCAGCGTCCAAAAGACTACAACATATGGGCCAATCGCGGTCATCCGTGCTTTTATAAGAACGAAATGGCGCTTTTAGTGACATTTTGCATACAAATCCCCATCTAGTAGGGCGCAGTCACCCAGTTTCGGTGGAAGTCCGCGAGTTCGATTGGGATTAAAGTAGGAAGGGAGCGTCTCAGCTTCCTCGGACCACGACCATTAGACTCAGCACCCCGAAGACTACAACTGGTGAAATTTTAATTTTTGCCTTAACTTCCCCGTTAAGTTTTAAATTAACGAACTCGCATGTAGCGAATTTCGTGATAATTGTAGCCAACATTGTCCATGTCCTCACATCCCTGTTTCAACAGTTTGAACCCATACTGAATTGACCCTTTGTAGCGAACTGTTTTCGTTCCCGTACGAACCATAATACAATCATGCAATTTATTCTGAGAATATTTTATTCTTTTCAAGTAAGAGAGCAGGCAAACCAAGTGCACTCATGCAGTCACCCGACCGGTGTATGCCCGGAAGCATGATGTCTTGATGACATACGTCATTGATACACACACACACACACGTGTTCTTTGCATGGCACATGTCTGTTATAAAGAACAATTACTTCGGAAAGTCAAGGGTGTGTTTGGTCGGTAGGAACTGGAACAGGATGTAACAGCTGGTGCACAAGGAGCAGATGTTCCCACCTCTGGCACCAGGCTTCACTGGGCAAAACATGAAACTGCTCTGGCCTGTAGGCTGGAGC